CGAGATATAAAGTTTAATCTTTCCTTCGGAAATGCACATCGAGAATCGAGACGTTGGACTACGTGACTACCTCACCCCACTCCCCACCCATTAATTCGCGCGGTGAACGTGTTCGGACCTGCTCCTCATTCGTCCTCTGGAAACTTGTGTGATGAGGTACATTGACAGGCTTCGCGTCTAATGGGGTACGTACTTCTTCTTTATCTATTTGTATTGAATTATCGATTAAATTTAATACTAAATCGATAAATAGATAACTCTATATGATTACTTAATTATTTCTTATTTCTAATTTGAGTTTTATTTCAGCAACTTTGATGACCGCGTGCAATGCGGTCGGTAGAATCAGTGGTTGTTCCGTAGTATAGGTTATTGTCTTTCGAAGCACCGTGGCTTCGAGTAGAGTTTCGTTTATAGTTTTGGCACACGCGAAGGTCGAGTCAGTGTATATTGCGCGTTTGTAAATTTCGTCCAGAGCATCGTGGCTCTCTTTGCTTCATATATCGCGATAGTAGAATCATTTCTTATCCTACTATAGTCTTTAACGACTTTTACAATTGTTCTTAACAAAATTAAAATTACTCGTTATCGGTATTAGTGTCAGTGCATCACTGAAGGGGAGTATTTGGCGATGCTCCACGAGCGAAAAAGTGTAAGTATATTTGTACTTTGTTTAAAAATTCCTATTGTTAATTTCAAGTTTTGTTATATCAGTTTTAAATTTACAAAATTATTGCAAATCTTTGTATTGAAACTACAGTTTCTACAATTTTAAAGACAGAATGTTATATTTTCGGTCTTCTTTTGCAGAATCCTGACATCTCATTTATTCGTGGATTCATGATCCAGAGAACTTCATGGTTCCAGGTATTACTGTTGCATTCTACGATCGGTGAGTCTTTTACATTTCTTATTCCTCTGAAACAGCTGTTTTTGATTGTTAATCGCGACCTACTTCTGACGACTAAATTTTCAATCGCATCCGTTAATCGATTGATTAGTCCAATTAAATTAGTCGATTGGTTCCTAACTCTGGACCGTACATCTTTAATTCCTACCACAATAAGCGCTATGATCGTTTTCTATAGCGTGTTGGTAATGTTGCGAGTGATATCGAAATGATAATAAGGTTCCAGAGAAATTGTCCGAAAAAATACAAAATCTATGTCAGATCTACTTGAATACCTTGTCTGTGCTAGTCAGTAAGAACCGACATTGTAAAAAATCAGTGATTTTAAAACGACCACATAACCTAAAGACCGGTGGCGCCTGAAACTATACCCAATTCAAACACTAACATCAGTAAAGTTAGCTAATGTGGGAAAGTTTTTCTTCTACACAAAAAATAGTATTGATATTAGCATGTGTAGGTTTGTCGTTTCTTAAAAACAACGTATTTACAGTCTCATAATTTCCACAACTTTATTTATCAAAGAATTTTAAGTCGTATATGTTTATTAACATTTTAAAACTTATATGCTCTGAGAAATTTATATTGTCATTCGAAACAGAAACTAAAAGCTATATTTTACAAAGTATACGATGCTTCCTAATGATTGTTTTAAATAAGAATTGTCATCCACAGAAGTCATCTAAACAAAATAAACGGATGAACATTGTTTCAGTAAACTATGTGATTGATTTACTGATTAATTTAGTCAATGATATCAGAAAATAGGAATGGTTGAGGTTCAAACGGTTCTCAACAGGTGTCAGCACAGCCATTAATAGTCAGCAATCAGTGGTTCTCATTCATTAGCAATGGTGATAAAAATGTCAGGGATTCAATGAGGCTCCAAGGAGAGCAAAATATTTTGCAGAGTAGAAGTTAATTTTTCAGTAAATGTAGTTTTAAATCATAGAAAATATTAATTGCTTATTGGACACAGTAATGTAACATTTGAATAACTATTATATTTTACATTATACGTGTCAATATTACAATTGTTCAGAAAATTTTGTTGTACTTAGAATTTAAGTGCAAATAAATTTCTGGAGCTGTAAGGGTCGAATGTTAAACGAAAAATTATTTCCTTTTTACTTTCTGAAATATTTTTCAGGAAACATGTAACGGTTAAATTTAATGTACATTGTTTTTACACATTAAAGCAATTGCCGAGTACAATATTTTTACTTTATTGGTACACTTGCAAAGCACAAATATTATGAATACTGCAAAACATTTGCAATACCTTTTTCTGTGTGGTTTCTCCTTTAGACGCGTTGTCGCCTAAACGGATTTGGGTCGATGGGTCGAGCGATAAGGAAGTAACTATTGATTTCGGAAAAAAATCAACGAACAAGAATCGCATTCGCAATACGGCATTTAACTTGGTCATTGGGACAATGAGCTTAGGTAATTTTTACTGGCGAGTTCAAGTTCGATCGTGTGAATTATGTCAGAAAAACATATGTGAGACACCGTGTGTGAGAATAATTTTTTAAAAATTGTATCAATTCCACAATTAACGATGGTGGAGGATTAATTCTTGACTGAGATACAGTGAGCGTTAATACAGTCGTCGTATAGTTTGTCGTATCGAGGGAATCGTGGACCGTTTTAAATATTTGAACGCAGATATAGATGTGCTACTTCCATATCCCAGTGACCACACGATTGGGTCTACTATAGCGGCATCGACTCCACGCTCGTGTTGTAAAACTATTTGTAACAAGACGAAATATCAATATAACGAAGTAGCCATCACAATCCTCTGAATTACAATATAATATTAATATATATACAATTCTATGCTAATAAGAAAATGCATTGGATTAATACTATCCATACCAATAAGGTGCAATAAAGTTTAATAACAAAACGGTTTACCAACTGCATATTAATACATCATAAATAAAAACAAAAGACACAAATGTAAGCAGCAAAAAATATTAAGCAATTATCTTCTTGAAATATTACATTGGAAAATTTTTATTTACAACCGAAAAGAAATGAAAAGTTTTCGTTGAATTGCAATTAATTTTGCAATTTCGTACAGAAACGTTAAATTATTTAAGCGTCTGTAAGAGCGAGTTATTAACCAGAGGAATAGCACGATAATAATTTCAAACTCGAGACCAGGTCTGCATGTTAGTCTTCGCCCAGAGTCGCTTCTACGATTGAACTTTCTTCATTTCCAAAATATTTTCTCCAATATTTAGTCTCGATTCTAGACGCTAAAAGTGCTGACGTCGTATTCTAGTCTGAACCGATAACGTTGGAAGTAACCCGGAAACGGTAAGGATGCTTGCGAGTACCAAATCTGTGCGACGCAAAAAGCATTGCTCGCAACGTTCCTCTACCTCGTCCGTGGTACAAAAGATTTAGAAACCATCGTCAATTTTAACCACACGCTTTTGTTCTTTAATGTCTACTCAACGTACGAAACTTTACGATATTTCTAAAATCTGTTGAAAGCTTCACCCTTACGTTATGTAAACAGATTCTATCGCGTTTTATTTTAATCGATCGCACCTACCGATAGAGAAGGGCTTTCGGTGTAAATGTTCTCGTCGCAGCAGAGAAGGGATTTGTTCGATCTGCACAGAGGATCGAAGAGGGGAGACGCCTAGCTACCCTCGATAATGGAAGAAAGAGGGCGACCTCGAAGCCCTTCGCACCCGTTTCGTTCGATGCGTCGTCGGTCTCGCGTTGTTCAAGTTAGTCGCGTCAACGATGGACTCGGCACGTCGTGCGTGTTCTAATTTTCTGACGCGTTAGGGGATTTGTGTATCAGCGAAACGTGAGAGCAGATAACACCGAGGTAAACCCGTACAGTGTTTTCGTGCATAAACGCGTGTATATCGTTCAACACCTTGCGGGCGAGCGTTGCAATCGAAAATGATCCGTGAGTCCGAAAAGAGTCATTCGATAAGAACGGAAATCTGCGCAGAATCGAGTACCGTTCCAGTGCCGTTCACACCAGACACGTCGATGTTCCTTGAAGTTTGATCCGCATTGCGCATTCATTCGATAGGCGCATCGCGCAACGGTATCTCGTCCCATTGTCGTCATCGTCGCCATCGTCGTTGTCCACTTTCTTCAGTTTCTTCTTCTTTTCTCTCTGCCAACACCTTCGCCACCTTTCGACGGTATTCCGTTTGGACGGTACGTACGAACTCTTTACACTCTTCCTGTCGGGCGGTCGATAACGGCATTTTTCCACGCGAGTGACGATCGGTTAATCCGGATTTGATTCCGAAGAGCCAGTCCTTCCGTCTATCAGCGATTTAAATTCATCGTCGCGTAGAAGCCAAACGCGGGAACGAGCACAACAGGAGGAGTTGAAGAAGACGACAACGACGACGATGAGCGACAGTGAGAATCGAAAGAAGTCTGTTTTCGCGGTTCGGGCTTCGTTCGAACGTCCGTTTAATGTATTCGAGAGAAATACCAAAAATCGAAGAGAAACAGTCGAAGTATATCGATTAAGTACAAATTTGATGCGTTTCGTTTTCATCGTACTCGATTATTTTGTTTTCGTACGCAAACAGAAAGATATCAATCGACGAGGAGACCGAAGCTCGCGAATTCGTTATCTCGCGATTTATAATTTTGTCGCGCGGGGTAAAGGGCGAGATGCGGCGATATCTTTGAAAGATATATGATCGATCGCTCGATAACGCTGCTCGAGGCTCCGTAACGGATAGATCGCGCAGGGATGCCGATAAAAATGTAAAAGTTATGCGACGGTTGGGCCGTAGCTGCGGCAGAGCGAGGTGGTGGTTGTCGCGTTGACGACGGCGGTGGCGACGGCGATGGCGGTGACTGTGACGGTGTCGGTGACGGTGACGGTGGCGTGTGTAATGGGAGGTAGAAAGAAAGAGACTAACAACTAGGGAAAAGCACGGAAAGGGAGAGCGCAGGTACACGTATCTGCCTATATAGTTAAGGAGTAACTACGGGCATATACGTCGCTTCGGAGGACGACGGTTGCTACGATATCGATCCCACGCAATATCGCGTTGTTCCCAGTAGTGTTTCCGCAGCCGTAGCGACGCTAGGCGTCCCCATGTCTCGTTCGCCGGCGTCTGTGCAACGATCGGTCGAATCGTATTGATCGAGCGTCGCTCGTAATTGACGTTAATTAAAAGATCGAACGCGCGGACTTTACGAGGCAACAAACGTTCCGCCGAGGTTTCGAGAAAGGCAAAAGGGCGGACGGGGAGGTGTGGTCGTACGATATAGGGACAACGAAAGCAAGCACGAATATCTTGTTCTTATATTTTCTTGCAGACGCTATCGACGAGTCTGTATGCGTATCGTTCGATCTCCGGTGAAAATGTGGGGAAGGGCGAGTATGGCAGCTGTGATGGTCCTCTTCTTAATGTGCTCGTGGACGCTCGGCGTGGTTCACGGCGAAGGTACGTTCTGCTAACTATTCGCGGATTCGAACGATTTATTTTTCACGAGATAGCGACGTGTAGTTGAGTAGGATGCAGATTCGGTAACACGGTTCGTTCGATAGGAAACATGGCGGATGTCGGTCCGAGCGACACGGACGCTGAGGGTATTTTAGAACGCGGGACTGCATGGCTATGGAGTCAGCGCGACAAAGACGCTGGTTGGGGGAACGATACTCATCGGGTTCTGTTGGTCCTTCGACTGAGCAACCTCTCGCGGGAAGATAACGTCGCTCCTGCGGCACCGATCGAGTTGCAGCTGAGCAGCAAACAGATGGAGCTCGAAATAGTGTTGCTGCTATGGAGGTAATGATTCGCAGCGTCGAACTATAGACGAGGTATACGAGTAGACCTTACACCTATTGTATATCTTCGGCCCATTTTTTGGAGGCTCTAGAGCTCCATTAATACGCATTGTTCGCATTTTGAAACGTTAAAATCCTTCAATCCGTCCAAAAGTTATGATATTTTAAACATACTCATGAAACTTCAGGAGAATCATTCATTCACGGTCAGACATTATATTTTCGGCAATTAATTTTTTTCTCGAAAGTGCGTAGGATTTCGAGGGTATATCTATTCACCAAAAATTATTCCCGCAATAGAATATAATTTTTCGCTTTCATTATTTCAGTTATCAAGACACAGCTCGCACTTTTACAAACATCCTTTGTTCCCTCTTTCTTTATTATTACTTTGTGAGTCAAAGATTGACGAGAAAACGCATCTTTAAAGAACGCTTCATCGATTTTACGTGCAATTTAGTTTTCTACGATTATAAAAGCAATCGACAATTGATGGTACCGACTTCTATACCGACGCAGTTAAGCGTCGTTGAGAACCGCTGTCATAGCACTTTCAGAACGAAACGACTTCGTCATGAATGCTTGTCAGTGCTCGGTAGATCGAACGTTCGTTCTCCACGAAGAGTGAACGAATGGTGATCGATTGAATTTTCTCAGGCACAGAGAAATCGGTTTCTCTCCGGTAAGATTGGCGCGCTACACCCTCGCCTTGAACGCCATGTGCACGGATCCAAGGCAGTTTCACGGTCACGATCTGATCGGAACGCTCCAACATCACGAGCCGCCCACGGACTATGAATTCGCCCTTACGACGCTAGCTGCGTGCAACGCCCAAGCCCACGTGCGAAAAAGACAGATACGTCGGTTGCTGGACATCGCGAACGATTATCAGGACCACAATGTCGGTGAGCGTCGCGATCGTCCAGTTAAGGTTTACACAGAGTGTTCATCCTAACCGTAGCACCGATTTTCTAGACACTTGCACTAGTCAGACAAAAAAATGTTTGGAGTAGAAGTTAGTAAGTACTTTGAGGAAAACAAAGTGCAGGAATGAATATTTCGAAAAATTCTTTGATACGTGCATGACCCTTTCATCCGTGACAATCGCGAATGCTGTTGCTCTTCTTAACGTACGTTCCTTTTTAGACACAGTCGCGATGGTGATCCTCGCCCTGAAGTGTATCGTTCAAGATCACAGACATCGAAATCTTCATCATTTCGTACGCAAACCATCGATCGGTTTGGCGCAAAGACGCGACGGTAGTTTTGGGGATTTGCGAACGACAGCTTTGGCGTTGCAAGCTCTCGAGGAAGCAGAAAACGAGTCTATTGACAACTGGAATCGATCGGCCGCCATCGCATGGATGACGAGCCAGCAACGACCCGATGGTTCTTTCGCTGGTGACGTTCGCGCAACAGCCGAGGCCCTTCTTGGGGTGACTCCGCGAGGTTTGGCAAACATTCGAACTCTCGACTGTGGCCAAGGACTCACCGATACCTCGCCGCCGCGACTCACCACCACCACAACCACTACTACCACCACTAGTAATGGTAATGGTAACAGTAATGGTAACAGTAATGGTAACGGTGAGTAGTAGTTCCCGTTTCCCTATTACTTTGTCATTTACCTTCCCCCTTTCACATTCTCGTCATTAGTCGATTTTATGATCGTCTTTGATCGAGTAACTGACCTCGAAAAGAGGTTCCTGGGGTGTAATAATGAGTTTTTAATGGAAATTTTGCACAGTTTTAAGACTTCAGGATAAGAGAAATCAACGATACAAAGAATGTAACATCTGAATTTAATATTAAAAAAAAACATAAAAAAAATAATGTATAGAAGTAAAAATAATTGGATAAATAGAAAAATAATTTTGTGAAAATATAAGATCTAAAGATGTATTTAAGATAATATGACAGAAACATATTCTTATAATTATTCAACTCCCATGGAGATGTTTATGTATGCACATTTCTTTGCATTGCAAATTTTCTTTTGTGCTCTTTTGATATGTGTCTCTACATTAAAGGGCCCTTACTTTGAAAAATGTATTGATAACGTAAAAATGTTCTGATGACGAATGTCATTAAAATATTAACAACTCGTAAACTATTATACCATTAATTTCATTATCTCAAGTCCTATAACTGCGCAAACTTCCATTAAAATATTAACGTTACACCTGAGGATCTTAAGTTGTGCAAAGTGAAAATTGCTTAAGAAGGGTTTGACTATTCCGTGGACTGTTGTATTCTTGCTTCGGAAGTACAGTAAAATCTCGATATAGTGGATATCGGATTTAACGAGTAAAATTGTATGGTTCAGTGTTGTCATATTCTCGAACGACTGGAAGACTGGGCCACTTAGCACGTCTTCAGCAAGTTGCGTTAATGACAGGACATATTAAAATAAACATAAACAATAATAAGAAATAAGAAGAGAATTTGTAAGCCTTTCTTAATGCCTGACATATACTAAATTGGCAGTTCGTAATGTAAAAATGGATTATATCCTGTTTAGAAATATGCAATTAATTATTTAACGTATATCATAGTTTCGCACAGATGCTATTTCATCGCCATTTGTTTTTAAGAGACACGAAGAATCGAGAATTTACTGCGTATCGTGTATTATTAAAAATGGTTCGATGTGTTCAGCAGAGTCAACGATTTCAAGTAATCTTAGCGAGACTGTGTCGGCAGCTTCTGGAACTAACGCGAATAACGAAAGCTTGGGAAACGACACCAGCAATGGAAACAAGGGAAACAGTGCAGGGAATGCGTTCAATGCCAGTAATGCGGACAGCAGTGTGATAGTTAGTACCAGGATGCCAGTTATGGTGAACGTTTCTTATACGCTGTGGGTTGGCAGTCACGTGAACGAGACGTATAATCTGACAGTGACGGCTCCTAAAAACGAAACATTCTACGAGGTGATGCATCTTGCCGCAGAAATGTCGCCCCATTTTCAATTTGTTGCATCAAAATGGCCGAACGGGCATTACGTTCACACGATAGCCGGCTACAAAGAGGAGCCGATGTCCTATCATTACTGGCTGCTCTATCGACTCCCTTCGCCTCCAAATCCTTCTAGGCCACCGGGTAATCACCTGGTTGCCCCCGGAGGTATGAGCAATTCTTAACGACGCAGCAAACGAACGGTACCGATTCGTTTCTGTTTTCGAACACACTTTAAATATGAATGAGCATACTTATTGACAGTACGCAGTAAAAACTGCATATAAACATGTGCCACATTCGAGTTTGTTCTCGAATTATAGTCATTGTTTTACACCTGCAAAGTGCAGTTGATCTTCGGTGTCTGACACTCCTTTTCTAAATAGATTTGTATCTTAAAGACGATCGATTTGAAATATCTTTTTATTGGACAGATATCTAGTGGGGTGACAATTCGCATGCAGATGTTTGGCGTTGGTTAAATTATACTGATCAAGTCATACATCAAACGTTTCCATAGACACATCATTTCCTGATTGTCAAACGTATCAAGAGAACGATCTTGGCAGATTTATAGAACAGAATAATCAACAAAATTTACATGTTGCAAGAAGATATTGAGAATTCTATACAAACGATCTAGTAGTATCAGTTATACTAATTCAGTTTGTGATTAATCATGTAAAGCTCAGTGAGGAAATTTTACAGAATTTGCAGGTGATGTTTCCTCATGGAAATATCTTTGCAACCAATTACTGTTTAACTTGAATAGTAATTTATTCATCATAAGTAACTAAGAAATAATTTTCTTCTTGATATATGCAAAAAAATTCGTACAATGTAGAGTTAAAAATTGTTGGAATACACGGATGGCTATAACGTGGAAACAAGGTTTAATATGACACATGTTTATATGAAATTAATAATGAGATTGAATATTTTTATAACATTTTTATAACTTGTAAATGGCTAAGTCAAGATTTGTTTTATGTAAAGTCTTATTTTTGAGAGACTTTTGCACAAGATTCCATTATACTTAGCCCAACTTCATTACATTTAATCCTTCGTTGCATTAACAACTCGGCGTTGCTGTTCATTTGCTGTATCGTTAAGTGTCTTAGCGTTTCCGTCATGCTCTAAAGAAGAACACTTTTAGGCGTCGATGATCTGCAAATCAGCAAAGGCGAACACTATCTCTTTTGGTATAAGAAACTATGAAGAGCAACGAAGCATCGACAATTAGTCGAAACAGTTTGAGAAATAGACGAAGAAAGGATCGTACGAGCGGAACTGTGAAAACCGAGAAAAAGAGAGTTAAAAAAATGCCTAGTTACTCGGAATTAATATAAAAAAAAACAAAAAAAAAATGTTAAAAAAAAATGAAAGCTCATTTTATTCACTGCCATCGCTAAGCGTGTACGAAAACGTACACGACATTTTCCAGAATTAATTTCGTACGGATCCACTCGTGCGTCAAGTTACTTAGGAAGATGCCGAAGAAGTAGAGCTGGCAGTGACGTTTTTGGAACTCTGCTCTAATGGTCGATTCGACTAGTCGGTAAAAAAAAAAGCACGACACATCCTAACGTATACCGACACTCGACTGACGTATGGTGATAACGATAACCATGCGTATCGTAAATCGTAACTTAAGCTAAAGGCATAACATTTTCTATGAAACTGCAATGCACAACCACATTGTACCTACTTATACGATATGGCGATATCATATCGATGATCAACGTATCAATTGATATTTAATAAATCCCATATCTATATGTATTAGCAAGTTAACCTACTTCTTGATATTATGCTACGCGTGTTGCTTTACAATCACCGAATTCCAGTGCTACGAGAAACGAAGTCAAGCTTGCCGCGATGCGTACATCAAAATTCATCTGGAACAATGCGTTTCGATCGACGGTTTTTCATAATTTGCCTAACGTCGCAATGTACAGTCTCTTTTGTTTTTTGAAATTAATAAAGTGTACAATTATGAATTAGATTTGGTATCTTGTTCCTTTGGATTTCAACGCTATCCACTTCCATGGTAGTTTCCACTTTCTCAGACTATTTCTTCTTTATTTAAGCGATTTTCCAAAGTCTTCCAATTCAAGCATATCTTTTTTTTCTACTTCAGACTATGCGTGCCTTCTTTGTGTAGTTAGCACCACGAGATTTAGTTTTGATGCTATTACAAGGTGTGAACAAATTACCAGTTTTATGATAGATTTTAACGATTAGAACTAATTTAAACTGTTATAAAAAAACATTTTAATGGTCGCAGAGATATTTTACTAGGGCAGTATTAATCCTAATTTTGAACAGATGTTGTTCTTTATACATGCGTATCTGTATTTTTACTTTAATATTAATTATATATTTTTTACTTTAGAACTCTTAAAATACATTGTGATATGAAGAATGTTTTGTTATTAAGAATCCACTTAAAACTATACGATGGAATAAAACTTTTTGCACGGACCCTCGTTTTTAAGAAAATCGATTTTCAAAATTGGTCGAATACGCGTGCGTTGGGGTGTAACTTGTTTGACTATTACGCATTGCTTCTACTAGCATTATAGTTTGTAAACACTGACAGTGGTTTGTTATTATCAATTATCAGGGAATCTAGCTGTATTCAGCTGCAATACCTGAACGAAATGCTATTGAATCTCTTACTTTTATTTTTGTATCACGAAGGAGTGAAAACAGTAGTTTCTTACATTATTCAACGCATATTTTCCGTAACTAAATTTCTGCTCGTGATCAATAATCAAGCAACGCAACAGAGGCTATAACCACGTAGACGTTTTTCATCCAGGACATCCGTCAGTCGGCAAAACTAAAATACACGAAAAACTGGCTAAAATATCCAAAGTTACACGTGCAGTTTTTGCTTTTAGTTTCCAAACCAACTTTGACGGTGGCAAATCTACCGGATTAGACTTTGCAAAAAAATTCAAATTAAAATATAGGTTAGCAAAGCACAGGCTATTTTCCTGACATTTTTAGATGGAACTCATTTTTGAAAATTTCTTGTCACAGTTCCGTTGCCTGAACGTTCATTTCGATGCAAGAGAAGTTCAGTGCATGGGTCCTCAATCCCGTCGAAATCAATTTTGACAAAGAACAAAGTTGACCTCAATATTTCCTCTACGCCTCCATTTGCAAAAATACCATATTATGTGCTTTCATAAATTTTACGATTTTCGTAACTAATATTTTCTCGCATCGTTTGAAAAGATCGAGATATTTAAGTGGACAGAATTCAAGCGACCCGCTGTACAAGCATTGAGTTTCGATAAACTTTCTACAAAATTTAGTTGACATTTGTTAGTCCCCCGTTAAGGGTGGTCTTTTATCACAATGGCCTTCAAAATACTTTTGTCCGTTGTAATATGATTGTATATATACGGTTCGCGATATGGCAGCGATGCGTAAATTGACCAGTCGGCCAAAACGAGTTTAACGTGACAAATGGAAGGACGACGGAAGAGCGATTTCGACTACGCGTGCGGCAGTGAAGGGTAAATTACAGAAACGATCAGTTAATTGGAATACTCTCGAGGTTGGGAACGACGAATCAAAGACATCACTACTCGTGCGACGACGCGGCACGGAATGGCGCGTAACACTCGTGCCGCGCGTGCCGTTCGTTCCACAAATTTTATCGCTCTTGTCACTTTGATTACCCGAGTCCATCCCTAGCATCCTATACTCGGGTCAACGGGACGAGTCAGCGAAGAAAAAGAAAGTGTTCGGTCTGGTCGATGCTGCCAGTCATTGGCTGCCAATGAACACTTACGAGTTACATTCAGGAACGTTTGTTTTCGTTTGCTGACCCGTCTCGTTGGTCCGAGTATAGATCAATTTTTTTTTATTCGTAATCAGAACTCATTCACCACTGGCGGGCCCAGAAAAGTTCAAGTGAATAGGAGGTTGTGAAAAAATCGTGTAGATAATTCGTGATTTCCATTCGAAAATCCTACTCTCAGAAGTTATAAATAGAAAAAATCGTTCGAAGCAATTCAAATACAGATAATAGATTTTTTGATCAAAAAAAGAGGCGAGGCTACTGTATCCGTCATTATGGTTCGCATCTAGATTCTCTTTCTTCGAATAATTTTACGCAGATATACCTTTGTCGATTTCTATCAATGACTCCAATATCATTATTCCACGAATTATTCGTTTGATTTAATTCAATTGATACTTGAACTTGCATCTGGTAACGAAAGTTACTTGGGAATTAATTGATAAACACAATTATTTCCAAGGATAGTTTTAATAACGAATATTTTTGCGCGACATCGGTCGAGTATACATAGTGCGTTTTGGTATATACGTCGTGGCGCCGTGACATTAGTGGCGGCACAGCATATCGATCACCCCAACCCATTCGTTCATGGATAGGACTAGGCCTGAATTTTCCAACCCCTCGATTTCCCTTTCCACCTTTCCCCGACTTCTCTAACCCCACACGGTGCACTAGAGCCACGAGCCTGCCTGTCCCTGATAACTCGCAGCTCACCCATCCATTCACTTGCGAAGGAACCGTCGTCCCTTCCAGCCGTCGTTCTACTTCCTCTTGTTCTCCCCCCACCCCGTTGGTGAGCATGCACCGAAGGACCGCCGAGTCGTTGAGCCGTCGAGCAACTATAGAGACGCGTGACGAAACCATCGCGCTCTATCTTCCATCTCTGATGTTCGTTGCGCGATGCCACGCATTCCCGCACTCTTTTCACGAACTTTGATACAGGCGAGCATTCTTCTCTTTATTTTAACGTCAAAAACGTCTTCGGGTACGATAGTGGTTGAAAACAGCGAAACGTCTACGCTTGAAAAAAAAGAACGACAGAGAAAAATAAACTGTCCAACGTTTGGGTGATTCCTTGGCTGTAGGGGTTGACAATTCTTTCTTACGCAACCTCCGAAATTGTAACATTTATTTGAAAAATGATTCTTACTTTTCGAGTAATCGTGTAACGAGAATCTGTGTTGTATATGTGTTAAAATTTCATTATTGGGTCTGACCTCATCGAAGGCAGAACCCCTTAGAGAAAGAATAGTTTTAGGTCGTTTGTAACAGTTGGTCTCTTAGCTTGAGACAATTATGTCACTGAAAAAAGTAGAGTAATAATGGTAAAACATATTTCTTAAATTTACAATAGAAACTGAATTTTACTCAGAATTCGGCTGGCAATAAAATCATCTCGCGTACCATAGGTTCACCACCCCTATCCTAGCCTGATTGATGCACCGATACGCGCGTGACATTGCTTTAAATTAGGAGCGCATTGAGTACAGGGTGGCTCAGTGCAGCGCAGTATTTCCTAAACGATACAAAATAATTGCTTCCAGGACATTGTTAAGCGACTCACGTGACATAGGGCTAATTACCGCAAAAGCTGAATGCAACTTACCGACGAGGCGCAGTTTCCTACTTCCAACATTACGCGCCAATCATGACTCGAGGGATTTTAAAGATACGATTCAAATTGCTATTAATTGTACCGATCGTAGAATCGCGATTTAAACACGCAATATTCTTCGATCGAACAACCGATGGACGAACTGGATACGATTGCGTATCATGAACTTTTCGTCTTCTGAAAAATATAGATTTCGCGAGGAGGTGCGACCATTTGTGGCCACGTAGTCTATCGTACCGTTCTACAATATCGTCATGGAAACGCAAAGCCCCGAAAAATCGTTTCGACGTTGAGCGTCAGCCGATAATAAAAAGGAAGATGGACCGTGATACTGTTCTATCCAGGCGAGCGAGCGAGCGAGGACGAAAAAAATTGTGAGTGCGCGAGAAAGAAAGAGGCCGTGGGAAGCAGAGTGCTTTTCCGTACAGAATAATCGTCGAGTGGAGACGATAATACCGAGCGTTTTGGAAAATTACGCTAAACTGCATCGCGCCAGATGGAATTTTTTGCGATCTAAAATTATAAGCAACGGGAGGGGGGAGGGGAGAGAGTCTAAAAAAAACGAAGAAGACCTGGATCAGACCGTGTTATTGATCGAGTGATTGCTTTCCATAATTAATTACGTTACATTAAGACGGGGGAAAAGCAGAGGGACGAAAAACGACGAACGTAAGGGAACATTTTTTAACTCAACTTGCCTTTTTCCGTATCGGTGCGATATTGCCAGCGAGTTCTCGCACGAAGGATCGCAGAATTAGATTTCTTAGAAGGAAGGTGAAGAGGGGATACGACGACGCCTCGCTCCTGACACTTGACGCTACCTCGGGGGATGATTCTCCCCATGGCATAGCGGTATCTTCCTACGTAACGGGTGTACGCAAGTATGAAACCGTTACTCCGTCAAAGAAATCATGCTCGGAATTTACGGTGTCCTAAAAAAATATTGCGCATTTGGAAACATTAATTTATTAACTCGTAACTGCAATACACGATAGTTTCGGTTATGTGCGCGAAATTAGAAATTCACGGAAACGTTTGGTTTCCACTGGTATTTTTTATTTTGGAAATAAAACGCCAAAATTCATCCACGTTCGTCTAGTTTCGTTTGTTTTTTAACCTAGGCATGCGATGGTTTAATTGGAACAAAAAACAAATAAGTTTACGATACGGATCGTTTTGCATCGCGCTTATTTTCGTTTTATTACTACGTAGTTTTTAAAATAAATTTGTTATATGTGGCTATACATGCGTTACTACCAATGTTTCGTTAAAGTGGAATGGTTATTTCTGGTGTGTTAAAAAATCCGCGCGTAATTCACCAGCAACCATTGCGTACCCGTAAAGTGACACATTGGTGTAAAATTTAGATTGGAGTTCCCATTGGCCTGTATTTTTTTGGAAAATCGTAATGAAAATCCATTAATGATTGCTGGTGTACGCTATCGATATACGTTGGAAAATTT